ATCTGACCAAATTAAACAGACAAGGAAGACTTTATTCCAGGTTTTTGCAATGGGGGTCAATTGTATTGAAATAGAGGAACAAAAGGTGGAAGAGTTCTTAAGCACTGAGGCAATGTACTGGTGGGTGTGCTGGGAGGCTGGTCAGTGCCATATGTGCTCACTAATTGGCATTTATGTATTATAGGTCCCTACCTTCCCACAGAGACTGGGAGCTTGGCTCCCTCTCTTTATTGATGATTACATTTCAAAGGGGCAGCTCCAGGTTCTTGAGAAACACATTCTTAGGCAGTAAAACTGGGAAAAGGCTAGGAAAATATTTACATCTCAAAGGGGCAGAGATAGTATTTACAATGACAAGTTTTCTAAAGTAAATGCTCCGAGAAAAAGGGGCCTACAGGTAAAAAAAAAAAAAATGTATTTCAAGTTTAGTCAAGTTGAGGAAAACTTTAAGGCTGTTTTGCTCAAAAGCCGTATTGAAGGAGGGAAACCAAGGGTGTTGGAACCACTCTTGAAGTATTTAAACGCCAGGTTTCCATGCATTTGAATTGCTGGGTCCCTGCAAATGCACAGGCTCTCTGTCTGTAGCTGGCTTAGAGTTCCGAGGGAAAGGAGAAACACTAGGAGCCCCTTGGGTCTGGACTTGTTTCTGCTACATCACTTGTTTATTTTAAATGGAAATTTCCGCCCCTGTCCTGGTCTTGGATAGTATTAGCCTCACCTGTGCCAGCTGTCTTAATTATTCTCCTTTACAGATAATCAGGGTTGGTTTGTTTTTTCTTCTTTCTCTTTAGGTTTGGATCCTCTCCCAGGACGCTGACACAAAGTCCCCTGGGACCTAGGCCAAACAATATTTGGGCTAAGTCAACACACTTAGCCCTAGCCCGTTTGGCTCAGTGGATGGAGCATCTGCCTGCGGACTGGAGGGTCCTAGGTTTGATTCTAGTCAAAGGCACATGCCCAGGTTGCAGGCTCCATCCCTAGTAGGAGGCATGCAGGAGGCAGGCGATCAATGATTCTCTCTCATCATTTATGTTTCTATCTCTCTCTCTCCCGCTCTTCCTTCCTCTTCGAAATCAATAAAAATATATTTTACAAAAAAGGAAAGTCGGCACACTTAACACTATATGTCATTCATAAGGAGACCCTTAGAGCATATATCCCTGAAAATCTATCAGCAGCCTTCTATGCCACCTCATCCACATTGGCTGCCTCTCTTTCTTTATTTTTATTAAAGTATCATTGGCATACAATATTTTATTAGTGTCAGGTGTACATTGTAGTGATTTGACATTTACTAGTATATACCTTACAATATGATCAACACATTGTCTAGTAACAAAGTTATTACAAGATTATTGAGTATATTCCCTGTGCTGTATATTATCAATATATCCTCATGGCATTTCTTTTTTAACTAGAAGTTTATACCTCCTACCCCCTCCCCCCTCACCTCTGGCACCTACTTCCCCTTCTCCATCTCCTCCTGCAACCATGAGTTTTTTCTCTGTATCTGTGTGTCTGTTTCTGTGTTTTTCTTTTCTTTTTTTTTTTTTAACTAATTTATTTTCTTTTTTAGATTCCACATAAATGTGAACTCATACAGTATCTGTCTTTCGCTATATGACCTATTTCACTTAATATTTCATTCTTTTTATGGTTGAGTAATATTTCATCAGATGAATGTCTTTATTCATTTGTCTATTGATAGACCCTGAGGTTGCTTTGATATTTTAAATATTGTAAATAATTCTCAGTGAAAGGGATGCATTTTTTTTTTAATGAATGTTTAGATTTTTTTAGATAAATACCCCAAAGTGAATTGCTGGGTTATATGACAGTTCTATTTTTAAGTTTTTGAAGGACCTTTATACTATTTTCCACAGAAGCAACACCATTTGCAATTTTACCAACAGTGCAGGAACATCCCTTTTCTCCACATCCTCACCAACATTTGTTATATGTTGACTTTTTCACAATTGCCATTCCTATGAGTTGTGAGGTGATATCTCATTGTGTGTGTGTGTGTGCGTGTGTGTGTGTGTGTGTGTGTTCTTGTAAATATGTTTTTGTTGATTTCAGAGAGAGGAAGGGAGAGGGAGAAAGAGATAGAAGCAGTGGAAAGAGAGAATCATCAGTCCTAGCTTATTTGACTCAGTGGATAGAGCGTTGGCTTGGGAATGAAGAGTCCTGGGTTTTATGCTGGTCAAGGGCACATGCCTGGGTTGCAGGCTTGATCCCCAGTAGGGGGCATTCAGGAGGTAGTCAATCAATGATGCACTCTCATCATTGATGTTTCTATTTGTTTCTCTCATTTCCTCCCTGAAATAAATACAAATATAATTAATAAAAAAGAGAAAAACCTCAATTAGCTGCCTCCTGCACGCCACTACTGGGAATCAATCCTGCAACAGGGGCATGTGCCCTGACCTGGAATCGAACTGTGACCTCCTGGTGCGTGGGTCACTGCTCAGCCACTGAGCCACAGCAGCCGGACGCTCATTATGCTTTGTTTTGATTTGCATTTCTCTGATGATTATTAATGTTGAACATCTTTTTATATGTCTGTTGACCATCTGTAAGCCTTCTTTAGAGAAATGTCTATTCATGTCCTGCAGACATTTTTCACTTGGATAGTTTGTTTGGTTAGAGGTTGAGTTGTTTGAGTTCTTAAAGCTAATACATGAATTCAGTGAAGTTGCAGGACATAAAATTAATATATAGAAACCTGTTCTATATACTAATAACAAACTATCAGAAAGAGAAATTAAGAAAATCCCATTTATAATTGTATTTATAAGAATAAAATAACTAAAATAATTTGTTCCCCAGTTTTTTCTTCTGTTTCTATTTGACAATTATAGTTGATATTTAACATCATTTTATATTAGTTTCAGGTGTGTAGCATAGTGATTAGACATTTATATCATTTATGAAGTGATTCTTCCTGATAATTCTAGTAACTACCTGGCCATCGGAGATTGGCCAGCCAGCTGGGAGGAGGGGACTTGAGAAGTTGGCTGGTTGCAGGAGGTTGGCTGTGGGAGGGCATTGACCACCAAGGAGCAGCTCCTGTATTGAACATCTGCCCCCTGGTGGTCAGTGTGCATCATAGCGACTGGTCAACTGGTCATTCTGGTCATTCTAGTCTTTTGGTTGTAACATTTCTTAGGCTTTTATATATATAGATGGATGCTAGATTTTGTCAAATAATTTTTCTACATCTATTGATATGATAATATAATTATATTCTATCTCTTTGTTACTTGGCATATCATACTAATTAAGTTATGGATCTTGATCAATTTTATACCACAAAAATAGATTTCATTTGATGATATATGATCTTTTCCATGTCTTGCTAAATTTGGTTTGCTAATATTTTGTTTAGGATATTTGCATCTATGTTCATTATGAATATTGCTCTATATGGTGTCTTCATCAGGTTTGGAATCAGGGTAATAGTGGCTCCTTAAAATGAGCTTGAACTCTTTCCTTCCTCTTGAATTTCTTGAAATAGTTTCAGAAGGATAAGTGCTAGTTATTCTTTAAAAGTTTGATAAAAGTTACATGGGAAGCCACTTAGTTCAGGACTTTTGCTTGTTGGGAGTTATTTGATTACTGATTTGATACCAATAGTGCAGAAAATGTCAATATAATAAACTAATTCAGGTGAAGGGTGTCCTTTAAAACTGAAAGTCCATCTATAATAATAAAAGGGTAATATGCAAATCAACCAAATGACTGAATGGCAGAATGACTATCTGGATGACCTTCTGGACAACTATGCAATGACACACACTGGTATAAAGCCATCCAAAGTGGTGCAATGTGATTGGTCAAGGGGCCCCACTAAGGTCTCACTATTGCCCCAAAGAGGGAGGCCAAGGTCACCAGCCAGCGATGCTGTGGTGGATGTACAGGGCTGGCCAGCAATCACCCTGCAGAGGGAAGCCAAGGCCAGCCAAGTGATCACACCCCACACCCTCAGTGGTGACCAGTTGTAAGAGTGGGGGGACAGTGCTGCACAGATGGCAGGCAGTGGCAGTGGCAGGGGCTGGGCCAGCTGCTGGCAGTGAGGGAAAGGAAAGCCCCGATAGGCCCTGATCACTAGCCAGGCCTAAGGACTCTACCTGAGGGGTTCCGGATTGTGAGAGGGTGCAGGCCAGGCTGAGGGATACCCTCCCATGCAAGAACTTTGTGCACCTGACCTCTAGTCTATTTATATATAAAAGCCTAAGTGACAGTTTGACTGGTCAATCTTTTGACTGGTCAACTGGATGCTATGATGCACACTGTTCACAAGGAATTGCCCTTGGTGGTCAGAGCACTCCCACAGTGGAAGCACAGCTTAGCTGACTGACGGGTACCCGACACATGGCTCACCACTGGCCAGCAAAGCCCAGAGACTGCAATGGAATGGCAGCAAGCCTACCAAGTGGCAGCAGCAGCAGGCACAGTGGGGCCAGGATGAGTGGGAGCAGCAGGCAGAAGTGGCAGGCAGCATTGGACTGCTGGTTTCAGCCTGATCCCTGAAGGCCACATTGAGGGACCCCACTAGTGCACAAATCCATGCACCGGGCCTCTAGTCATATAATAAACTAGTTTTTCCAATGTGTGTTAAAAAATTGACAAATTAGTTAGTTTACCTGTTTTTACTTATGTAGACATTTATATAATTAAAATTATCTGTGGAAAGTTTAATTTTACAGAAAAGTTTTCTACATGTATTACTGTAATTTAAAATTTATACTGAGTAAGTGTAGTAAATGTGTGCATTCACCAGTCAATGCAAGCAAACAAATGGGCATGGCTAGGCATGGCTTAGTGTGGAACATGGCTAGCACACATTAAAACTTCTGTGGAAAGTTACACCACACAATAACAGTACCAATTACTACGTGCACTGAGGTGTGATCATGTGTTACTCATTCATGGAACATTTACGAGTGGTAACTCTTGAATTTGAATATGTAAACTATAGTTGTAGATACGTATTATTTATTTATGTCAATGAAATTACTACAATGTTTTTCCCAATATAAAGCCTACTGGCTAAAATTTGTTTAAAATAACAGTGACTTGCCTGGCCATCATTGGTTCATTGGTTGAACATCAATCTATGAACTAGCAGGTCACAATTTAATTCCCAGTCAGGGCATATGTCCAGGTTGCAAGCTCAATCCCCAGTGTGGGACCTGCAGGAGGCAACATATCAGTGGTTCTCTCTCATCATTGATGTTTCTATCTATCTCTTTCTCCCTTTCCCTTCCTCACTGAGATCAATAAAAATACATATTAAAAATTATAGTTAATTAATTATAAAAATAACCTATTAATTTAATTACAAAAAAATCTGGGTTAAAAGCATTTTAAAATTAACATGGTGTTAATTCCACATATGTTATTTTTCACGTATGACATATGGACAAGAAATTTTGTCTGTTAAATTCAAATCCCATTAAATTGAGGTCCAGAAATTAAGGGTTTAGTGTAATCTGCTTATTCAGATTTTATGTTTCATCTTGATTCAGTCTTAGAAGTTTGTGTTTCTAGGAATTTACCCATATCATCTATATTATCCAATTTATTGAAATATAATTGCTTGTAGTATTTTTTATAATCCTTTGTATTTCTGTGGTGTCAGTCATCACTTCTCCTTTTTCACTTCTGATTTTAATTATTTGGCTCTTCTCTCTTCTTTCTTTGATGTGCCTGATTAAAGGTTTATCAACCCTTTTCATCTTTTTAAAGAACTAGCTCTGGTTTCATTGACCTTTTGTACTTTTTTTTTAGACTTTTTTTTTTTAAGAATAGTTTATTGATACTAGAAAGAGTGGGAGAATAGAAAAATATCAATGTGGCAGTGTAACATTATTTGACTGCCTCCTGCATACCGCCTAATGGGGATTGAGCCCACATCTAAGGCATATGCCCTAACCAGGAATCAAACCAGCAACCTTTTGGTGCATGGGACAATGCCCAAGCACCTGACTCACAGCAGCTAGGCTCATTTATTTTTACTCTGATCTTTATTATTTCCTTCCTTCCACTCACTTTGGGATTTGTTTGTTGTTCCTTTTCTATTTTCTTTAGTAGAAGTTTTGATTGTTAATTTGATATTTTTCTTCTTTCTTGAGGTAGGCATGTACCCTCAAGCTGAGTGGCTTTGAGGTCTGGCCACAACCAAAGCTTGTAAGCTGTTGTGTGAGGAATCACTGCATGGAGTGGAATTTGCACCAGCAGGCCCTGTGACCTCTCTATGGGTTGACCACGCAGGGGTCTTCAAACTATGGCCCGCGGGCCACATGCGGCCCGCAGAGGAGTCTGATCCAGCCCGCCAGGTTTTTTGGGCAGTGAGCGCAGCAGAGGTGTTACAGTAGGAATTAGTAGTTCATATAGTCCGGCCCTCCAGCTCTCTGAGGGACCGTGATCTGGCCCCCACTTTAAAAAGTTTGAGGACGCCTGATTGGAGCTCTGTTATAATCTAAAATTGGCCACCCCATGAGTTGGTTTGGGGGTCTTCTTGAAAGAACTCCAATATAGGTCAGGGTCAGCTGCTGCTTGTGACCAGTACAAAGTTACCTGTTAGGAGCTACAAAGCAATCAACGTTTGGTAGCTGCCTGTGCCAGGCATGGATGCTCATGGGAGAGGTCACACCGTGAACCGAGGTTGGCTACCTCCAGTACCAGTCCTGGCGCCATTCAGCAGGAGGCACAGGCTACCCCAAGGTCTGCCTTCACTACTGGATGCTCAGAAGACTTAACCACTAAAAGAGTCTCAGGCAGTTCCTGAGTTGGGTGTGACAGGGTCCCAGAGGATCATCAAGGTTTGGCTAATGATGTTCACCTGGCTCATGCAGATTCAGAATTGGTGCCAGTGCTGTGTCCTGGGCCACTCAGCAAAGGACACAGGGCACATCAGGCCAGTTGCTGCCTGCCTGGCATCTGGGGACCTTTGAGAGATTTTCAGAAAGACTGGCGCACAGGCAAAGGCAGGCTCTCTGACACTGAAGGAACCGTTTAGGGGCAGAAATAGAAAATTGGAAACTAAGTATGATAAATATTAATCAGCTCTGTTAACCATGATTGTTCTTTTCTGGTTAGAGAAAGCACATGTTTGCCTTGCTGAGAGGTGTGTGTGTGTGTGTGTGTGTGTGTGTGTGTGTGTGTGTATGTTGGAGCCAATATTCCACAGTACTCTAGTATGTGGAGAACCTTCTTTTAGTTTCTTGATTTTGTTTGTTTTTGTTTGTTGTTTTGCCCTTAAAAATACAATTTCTACATTAATGTTGAGCAGTTTCCTCTGGTGATAAGACCCTCCTTGAAAGAATGAGCAGACCTTACAGAGCTGAAAATATAGAGCACAGGTCAACATCATACACACAAAATAATACTTCAGATATGAGACAAATCATAAAAAAATGCTGTAAATAGAAAGATATGACTTCATTAAAGACTATTGGAAGTATTCATTTTGCAGAAATTTAGCTCTCCATAATTCTTTCATTTCTTTCACAAATTGGATAATTAATGTGAGTTAGTCATAATCCTCTATGGTTACATTCTCTGTGATTCTTTAATATTGTAGCTCTATGGGCTCATTTCTCATTTTTCTCCATACCTCATTTAAGGCTTGAAGTCAGTGGGAATTACCCCAGGCAAGATGAATTAGAGACTATCTGCCTAATCACTTAAGGCAGACTGTCAATTTTTAAAATTCTTAAGTACATCTACACAGTCATTTGAAAATGTGGGTTTTCATAAAAATCCACATCTTACATTTGTAATATATATGGGGAAAATTCTCTTTTATTAAAACTTAAAGCCTCACAGGACCATAGAATTTTTTAAATGTATCTTTACTTTATCTTTACTGTTGAAAGTATTACAGATGCCCTCATTTACCCCTCTAACCTGCATCTGTCCCTCCCACCCAGGCTTACTGCATTGTTGTGTGTGTCCATAGGTTATGCTTATCAATATATATATATATAAACCTAAGCAACCATTATGATGGTCACTATGGCATGCACTGACCACCAGGGGCAGATGCTTGATGCAGGAACTGTTCTCCTGGTGCTCAGTGCACACCCACAGTCAACCTCCCACAGCCAGCCAACCTCTTGCAGTCCCTCCCTCCAGCCGCCCAGCCCCAATTGGCCCTGATTGCCCCTGATCACTGGCCAGGGCGAGGAACCTCACCCGTACACTAATTCATGCACTAGGCCTCTAGTATGCATATAAGTTTGTTGGTTAATCTTTTCCTAATCCCCTCCCTTCCCTTTGAGATTCATCTGTCTATTCTATGCTTCCATGTACCTGGATCTATTTTGTTCATCAGTTTATTTTGTTCATTAGATTCCCACATATAAGTGAGATCATGTGATGCTTGTCTTACTTTCACTGGCTTATTTCACTTGGCATACTACTCTCCAGGACTCTCCATGCTGTCTCAAAGGGTAAGAGAGCCGCATAGTATTACACTGTGTAAGTGTACTACAGCTTTTTTTATTCTCTTATCTAACAATCGCACTTGGGCTGTTTCCAGATCTTAGCTATGATAAATAGCAGTGCTATGAACATAGAGGTACATATATATTTTCTGATTGGTCTTTCAGGATTCTTTGAACTTTAAAACTATAAGAATCTTACAAATTAATAATTTATTATTCATTTATTCAAAAAATTGTCTATTGAGAACTTTACAGGTAAAAAATGTAACCTATTTGTTAAGTTACTTCAACTTTCTGAGCCCCAATCCTTGGTCAGTTGAGTAAGTTGTGTAGGATGGAATCTATGCACCTCCAATTGCAGTATTTCACAGTTCTGGGCTGGTAACTTCTCAAAAGTTACCTAGCTTTATTAGCACAACCAACACTACATTCAGAAGCTAGAATTTCCTACTGACTCCTGTCTTGTACTTTGCACTGTAACACATTAAGTTCCTAAGTTAAAAAATAATGTTTTTCCCTAGCCAGTTTGGCTCAGTGGACAGAGCATTGGCCTAAAGACTGAAGGGTCCTGGATTCAATTCCAGTCAAGGGCACATTCCCTGGTTGAGGGCTTGATCCCCAATAAGAGATGTGCAGGAGGTAGCCAATCAATGATTCTCTCTCATCATCAATGTTTCTTTCTCTCACTCCCTCTTCCTTCCTCTCTGAAGTCAATAAAAATATTTAAAAAATAGTAATAGGCTTTTATTTTATATGGTTGGTTTGATACACTTACATATTGCAATATGGTTACCACCTGTTGTGTTAGCTAACACCACCATTGTGTCTCATTTCCTTTTTGTGGTGAGAACTTTTGCATCTTATTTTCTTAGCAACTTATATGTTTAGAATAATCAGTTCTGCATATGTAAAATTGTAATGTTAGGGTCTACCCTACACAATTGGTTGTTGTAGAGATTAAAGAGTTTAGTTTAGGCTGTTTAAAAGAGGCCTTAGAAGCTTTTGTTATTAATGTTTTGTGCATTGAATATTTTTCCATTGTGCTAGTTACCACGCCTAGAAATCATGCTGTCCTTCTGAAACCCTCACATCTAATGCTTAACATGTCTGCAGTAAAAGACATGTTGATGCAATAAAAATTCTGTTTTATGTAGTTCTTCTGTCTTTACACTCTGGTAGAGTTTATTATATACAGTAAGCCCTCACTCAACATTGCAGTTAAGTTCTTGGAAAGTGTGACTTTTAAGGAAAAAGACAGATAAGAAAACCAGTTGAAGTTAATTTTAGATTCTAGATTTTAATTTAGATGAGTTAATGTTTACTTAGTACTTAAGGTGTTCTAGCTACTTTCCTATGACTTAGGGATACAAAAATGAAGACATGCTCATTGCTTTTAAATAACTTTCAGTCTTTTACAATATAATCCTGCAGAAATAATGATGAAGACCTGTATTCTAATTTTATTACCTACCAACTTTATCAGCCTAGAAATTATATAAGTCGTTATAGTGTGCCTTCTTTTTTGGATAAATACATCCGCAGTTATAATCTATAATGTAAAATGCATGATTATTCTTTATAGAGGTTTTTAATAAGTTATTATAAAACACTGGTTAGTATTCTTTAAAAATGCTACATGAGACATCAAAGTAGATTTCCCCCCCAAAAAAAATTCTGATAATTCTAACTACAGTAAAATTTAAAAATATCCTAACATACAAAATCTTTAGTAAATTGACAATGCTAAATAAAGAGTACATTGGCTATGGATATACATACAGAGGATAATCTGATTAGACCAGCATCATTTTCTGCCTAAATTTTAAACTGCAAAGCTATAGAACAGCCTACTAATTTCTAAACTTTAACTTAAAGACATAGGTTTTAGAGATGTTTCTCTGCTATTTAGTCACTCAATAAGGTTGCCTTCAGAGACTATCTAACAATAGTAAATGCTAATTAACAAATAAGTAAACTGGAGAAACATCAGATGAAAAATCTTAATGAGTAGTATTATTGGAGTAATGATTTCTTAAGAATTATTTGTTGAGTAAAATAATATTATTTTCAAAGTTTTATAATCAGAAACATTTCTAACAATTTGCTTCCACATAGAGAAGAATTTGAAAAATTAATTTGAAAATTTTTACATCTTTAACCATTGAATATAACTTGAGTTTGAAATATTTTACTTGATGCAATATAAATTATTGCATTTCATTTCAATAAATGTATTTCATTTATTTTCTAATAGGCAAAAATCAGCTTCCCTATACCTCTTATACCTTCACACACATTCTATTCATCAATATCAAATTCTCACTCTACAATGTAGAAAATATATTCAATCTTTAAAAGTTTGTCATGGATCCTGGTCAGGATTAAATACCACAAATTTTGTGGATGCAGAGTAATAATTTATCTCTCTGATGGTAATTAGACTCTCTCTTACTCTCTCACTTTTGGGGTCACAGTTATATCTTACATAACTCAGAGAAAGTGCTTCCTTTTTAGGGCTGGATTAGAAATCAATACCATTAGCATAAAGTTAAAATCATTTATATTTTATTTGCAGTGGTGAATCAAATCATGTTCTCTTGCAGTTTTTATGCATGTTCATATGTGTCCCAAAGATAATTAATCATCTTACATTAAGCACCATATGTTTTAACCACATACATAATAACATGAAACCTGTGTTCATATATGCATGCTTGCTCCCTGTATTTCTTTTAAGAGAAGTTATGATCCTAACCCAAAGTTCCAGGTGTGTTCAAATTAGGGGCGTGTTTGTTTAACACTGTATTTCCACTCTGGGAAGTACAAAACAAGTGTTGCTGACAGCCACAGAAACAAAGTCAGGTTTTTGTTGTTGTTGTTTAAAAATCTGTGCTCTCCCAGGAGTTCCATAGCAAAAGCACAGTTTTGTAGCATCCCCAACATGACTGGCCATGCTCAGAGTAGAGGAAAATGTAACCTCTTCTACAGAACAAAATAGCCAGTTTTTAAGGAAGAGTTCCCTTCTACATGCCTGACCCTTTGTTTATGGCTACATAGGAGCAGTTCCTAAAATTTCCCAGGAGAATCCTACTATTTTTTAATTCCCCTCTGGCAAGTCAGCTAGCTCAGAAGTAGCGGGCCTTTGCACCAGCAGTGCTGCTGAGGAATTCCAGGCTCTGAGAATGGCCTGGCATCACACTTTACAGGAGAAACAACTACAGACACTACAAAGGAGAAAGCTGAGATAGTCTTAGCTATCAAGCCAGTTTCAAGAGACTTGCCCCTCCCACTATTTTACATATGACAGCGCAGTTTAATTAAATAAATGGGAGATATTTCCATAAATATTTTGCAGTCAGATAGACAGTACTTTTGAGTCCTTTCTTTGATGTCTAATATGTACCATTAGAAGATCTTTCTGGAAATACAACTTAATAAGAAATGTAGGAGTGCTGAACGAACTCACCCATACTGTTAACAAATCAGAATGCAAATATTTTTTATCTGCATTCAGGAAAGCTGAGTACTTTTAATCCCATTAGAAAATGCTGTGATTAATTGCAGGACCTCCCTGATTGTTCAGGTAACAGATGGACATGCCACAATGACATATTTCCCCTATTTATTTACAAACAATAGAGGATATTTATGTGAGCAGAAATTAAAACACTAGTGGAGTACTAATTCCCTAAGCTTAAATATGTTCACATTAACACAAATCCTTTATTATGTAAAGTAAACATCTTTAATATTGTGCGATGGCTTGGACATTTAATCCATAATATTTTATAATTTCCTTTCTGTTGGGTTGATTTCTTCAGTAAGAATTATGTACCTGCAACATAATGAGGCAAATTTACTAGAGCACAAAAAATTTTTTTTTTCATGTTTCAGACAAAACTTGCTTCTAACATACAAGAAACACACACATTATTTTTGGGAACATCTTCATTGTCCTCTGTGGTGATTTTGTTGTCAGAACCTTAAACCATTTGTATTATACCCAAAAGACCTGAAAACATTGAAATGACAATTGAAGTAAAATTTATCACCTGCTGTTATAAATATTATAGAAGGTTTGCCAATGTAATAAACTTTGGTAAATCATATCTGCAAATGAAAACCACTATTTATTTTGGGTGATAGCTGTGTTAGCTGAAAATCAGAAGTTGTATTATAGTCAAATACCTTCAAATTAAAAAATATTCAAATGATTCCAAATGTACTTAATCAAAATACATTTGGAAAGTTGTTAACCAATATATATATATATATGTATATATATATATATATATGTATATATATATCTGTGTGATATATATATATATATATATATATATATATATATATATATACACATATACACACACACACACACACACACACACACACACACTAGAGGCCCAGTGCATGAAAATTTGTGTACTGGGGATGGGGGGTATCCCTCAGGCCAGCCTGCACCTTCTCCAATCCAGGACTGCTGGCTCCCAACTGCTCGCCTGACTGCCTTCCTGATTGCCCCTAACCACTTCTGCCTGCCAGCCTGATCACCCTCTAACTACTCCCGTGCCAGCCTTATTGATGCCTATGCTCCCTGCCAGCCTGATTGCCCCTAACTGCCCTCCCCTGCTGGTCTGATTACCCACAACTGTCCTCCTTTGCAGGTGTGGTCCCTCCCTATTGCTCTCCTATCTTGTGGTGGCCATCTTGTGTTAACATGGGGACAGCCATCTTGTGTGTTGGAGTGATGGTCAATTTTCATATTACTCTTTTGTATTGTCCACAAAATCCTTGACTCGCAGAGTTATCCTATATAATAAAACCCTAATATGCAAATCAACCAAACTGCAGAATAACAGGTCACTATGATGCTCACTGACCTCCAGGGGGCAGAACTCAATTCAGGTGCTGCCTCCTAGAGGTCAATGGGCTTCCACAGGGGGAACACCACTCAGCCAGAAGCCAGGCTCACAGCTGGCGAACGCAGCAGTGGTGGGGAGCCTCTCCCACGTCCATGGTAAGGACCCCTCAGAGGATGTCTGACTGCCAATGTAGGCCTGCAGACATCCCCAAGGGGTCCTGGAGGGTGCAGGCCGGGCTGAGGGACCTCCCCTTCAGTGCACGGATGTTCTGCACTGGACCTCTAGTATTAAAATAAACTACATTTATCATTTCATTGCACTTCCTCTATCCATTTGAAACTCTGTTATGAAAGCATGCCACAAGAAACGCGAGGAATAAAATAAATTGCACAACCCAAGGAAAAGTTCCAAAGATTACAAACTGACAGCTTGCAGGATAATTTCTCATCCATCTTTAATTAACCCTTGTTATGTTGGTTAACATAGTATAGTTTTGGTATTGTTTGCTTGGATAGACTACCTATGGCCATGTCCTAAACCTGGCACCTGTAAATGCTGCCTTATAGAGCTAAATGTTTGTTTTTTTTTGTTTTGTTTTATTTTGTTTTGTTTTAATATGTTTTATTGATTTTTTACAGAGAGGAAGGGAGAGAGATAGAGAGCTAGAAACTTCGGTGAGAGAGAAACATCGACCAGCTGCCTCCCGCACACCCCCTACCAGGGATGTGCCCGCAACCAATGTACATGCCCTTGACCAGAATCGAACCCGGGACCTTTCAGTCCGCAGACAGACGCTCTACCACTTAGCCAAACCGGCTTCAGCGCTAAAGGGGTTTTGCAGATAAAATCATATTAAGTATCTTGGTGGGGAGGTTATCCTGGATTATCCCAGTGGGCTCCATGTAATCACAAGTTTCCATCTAAGAGGGACACTGGGAGGGGTCCGGACCAGTGAGAAGGGAATGTGGTAACAGAAGCAGAGAGACAGAGATTTGAAAATGCTTCTCTGCTGGCTTCAAATATGCAAGAAGGGGACCATGGCCCAAAGGAGGTGGGTGTGCTCTGGGATCTGTAAGGGCAAGAAATTTCATTCTATACAGAGGAGCTTGCTCTGCTGGCCCATTGTGGACTTTTGAACTCCAGACAGTAAGAGAATGAATGTGTGTCATTTTAAGCTACTAAATTTGTGCTTATTTGTTTAAACAGCCATAAGAAGCCTATACTACCTGCAATTAATAATTAGAAGATTTCATATAAAATTGAAGATAGATTTTTTTTTCTCCACTTAAAAACTGGATGATGCAGCAACAGTTGGAGTGTGACTATTATACTTCCTTGGATCAACCACTGGTTATAGCTGATCCCTTTAGAAGTCACATGTGCTCTAGTTTACCAAGCAATGGCTGAGATCCTGCTAGTATTTCTTCCCTTTTTCCTTTTCCCCTTATATTTGGCATCAGGTAGATATTTAACTTTGTGACCTCTTACAACAAGGTCTTGAATTTCACATTTTACTTAACATTCCTTTTACGCTTCCTGAAATTCCATTCCCTTTTGCTTAGTTACCTCCAACATCCACCTATTTTTGCTTTACTTTCAACTCTCAACTTGCAGATTGAGAATCTTCATGATTCCCAAACTTACATCACAAGCCCTAATCTCATTTTTATCAATATTCACAACCACACTTCGGGCATATTTTCCTTAAATTTAATGTTTCCAAAAGTGAACCAATTCTCAGCTTCCACAAGCCTCTTGGTCACCCCATATATTTTTTAAATCGTTTTTCTGCATTTTATTCTTATCTCTCCTTGTTTCGGCCCCAATTGTCTTGTGCCTAACTATGTAGCATCCCATTAATCGGTAGCCTGACAATCAGTCTTTTCTCACTCAAATTTATTCTCCACATTTCTGCCAGATTCACATTCTAAAACTCAAATGCAATCATCTAGTTCTCATATGTGAAAAAAAAACACAAAACTTAAACAACCACCTGCACCTGTAAGTTAAATTTAGAATTTTGACTCTCACACTGAATGTAATGTTGAACCTGGATCTACTCTAACTCTTCACACTCTTTTTTCAATCACTTCTATACAACCCCCAGACATACCAAAGGACTGTTTTCCTAGGGATATGTCTTATATTTTTTCCACTGAGTTGAATTTTCTCTCCCTCTTTTTTTTTTTTTTTTTTTTTTTTTTTTTTTTTTTTTTTTTTTTTAGCTTTTGCCTAAATAACATTCTACTTAGAGTTCTCATTTTCAAAGCACAACTTCAGTGCCACTTCCTCAGAATTTCTTTTTCCTATTTTCCCATAACACTCTTTACATGCCTCCAAAATAGTAAGCAGTACTGTTTTTATACTTCCCTCTCTACCAAGAGTATACTGTAAGTCAAATATCTTGAGGGCACAAATAATGCTTCATTCATTTTGGCTGGCACCCTCCTAAAGCTTGCCTCCTAAAATTAGTGTTTAAGAGGTATTAAAAAGGAAGGAGTTCTTACCATTTGCAACAGTATGGATGGAACTGGAGAGCATTGTGCTAAGTGAAATAAGTCAGTCAGAGAAAGATAAATATCACATGACCTCACTCACTTATGGAATATAATGAACAACATAAATGATGAACAAAAACAGATTCAGAGACAGAGAAGCATCGATCAGACTCTCAAACCTCAGAGGGAAAGTAGGAAAGGGTGGGGATAAGGGGGAGAGATCAACCAAAGGATTTCTATGCATGCATATTAGCCTAACCAATGGACACAGACAACAAGGGGGTGAGGGCATGAGTGGGGGGGATGGGGAAGGCTAATGGGGGGGGGGGTGAGGATACGTATATAATAACTTAATCAATAAAGAAATTTAAAAATAGAGGTAAACTTGTGGAGCAAACATCTGAGTTTTATTGTTTGCTATACTGTCTATGTCTCAGCTTCTTTAATTTTAAAATAAGAAGTGCTGTAATAATATAGTACATAGTACACATTTGCATTAACCTTTATGAAGTATTTACAGGAGTGCCTGCCACATAGTAAGAGGCATAATGCATTAAAGTAAATAAATGTTTTTTGAGTTACATTGGATTATTATCACATACACAGTTCAAGATTTTTAAAAATTCAGAGTATATATGTTTAATAGTATCAAAAATAAAATAAGGTATGCATGAGAAAGTATGACATTATTCAGTAAAAGTAAACTAGTGTAAGACATTCTTGTCATGAGACAAGAGAATAGAAATATAAGGGCATTTCTTATCTTGTTCCCCTGATGCTAGTTCTGAGCACACGGTTACCTCCAAAAAAATAAAATAATAAAATAATCCTTTGGCTGAATTAAGTCCATGGGACCACAACGCAAAATGAGAAATTATCCTTTTAATTAGCTTCAGTAAGTTTCAATTAAATTATTTTCTGAGAATTAATAATAATGGAAGAATTTTGTAGGTCTTCCTTTGAAAAGAGACATTTAAGTTCCTTTAAAAATCAAAACTATTACATGAAAAATTTTGACCAGAACAGAGAATTCTCTAGATAACCATAATTAAAAAAATAAAATTAAGAAATCTAATATTGGCATGATGCTTCTAAATCACTAATATCATATGATTTGCCCAGTAGTCATTTTGGGCGAAGGCCTTTAAGACCAGAGTTGAAATTGAATCTGCAAAAGGAAGAATACACGAAGCACTGGGTTTTGCAGTACTTACGGTTGGATGGATAAGCCTTTAAGGATAAGGAATCATCAGATTTGTAGAGACTAAGAATAGCAGAGGAGGCACCAGATCGAGAATCATGAATGAATTTTGTTTGACTTAACTTTATACTCAAAGTGTGAGCCAAGGCGTGTTACCTAAGCCTCTATATCAATATAGAAATATTAAAATTAGGAATAATGCCCACTAACTTGAAAATAGCCTGAAGATTTTAGTTGAATCTAAGATAAAATTTAGTCAAATGTTTGTCAATTCAATCAGTACAATATTAAATGGTTAAAAATATGGTACCTTAGAAATAAGGTAATTGTCTCCACTATAATCTTTAAAGTCTACATTTAGTTTTTTACTTTAAAATTTAAGGATATTGTTCACTAATAGCAATATAATAGAAACCCATTTCTCAAACTAAATTTGTTCCAAAGGCTGTTCAAAAATCAAATCATTTTTCCCATTAGAAATAATGTAAATTAAATTAATTTGTTCTAGACCCCCAAATGATTTCGTTTTACCCTTTCTTATATACAGTACATACCTATTGTACTGTTTAATCTATAAAAAAAAAACAACTTTAAAACAAAAAGGAGATGAAATGAAAATTTAAAAAAAGGAAAGGAGGCTGAAACCAGTTTGGCTCAGTGGATAGAGCGTCGCCTGTGGACTGAAAGGTCCCAGGTTTGATTCCGGTCAAGGGCATGTACCTTGGTTGCAGGCACATCCCAAGTGGGGGTGTGCAGAAGACAGCTGATTGATGTTTCTCTCTCTCATCAGTGTTTCTAACTCTCTATCCCTCTCTCTTCCTCTTTGTAAAAAATCAATAAAAAATATATTTTTTTAAAAGGAAAGGAAATACACAGTAAAAAAAAAATTGAAAATTTAACAATTATAAGCAGCAACAAAAGCAAAAATACACAAAAATATTTACAGCACAATATCCTGAGATTTTAACAATGGTAAACTGACTCATATTCAAGCATTCTCTTCTTTGATTGTCACCTGAGAGATGCATAACCATATGGGCATCAGCATGAAAGGGTTGTCAGGTTGAGAAGTGAATTGTTCAATATGGGAGACATTCAAGAAAGGAGGTTCCACTGTACATGAAAAAAAGCTTACTTAGATTTTAACAGCTTAGAAATCAATTCATGAGTATATAGTGGGGGAGTTAGGGCTATTTCTCCTATAGGAAAAAGAGATATGAGAACATCAAGGCAAAAAATTGAATGGAAGCCATTTAAAAATGACTTAGTTAATGTAATTCCCAAAGATCAGTGGGTAGCCAGTTTAATCAAGCATAATTTTTTAACATAAAAAAATGTTATAATTGGAGACGCCAAAAATAGTGTGAGCAATTGCTAAGTTAGGATTTCTCTGCAATTCTCTTATATAGTCACTCTCAGGAGAATAAAATTATGCTTGTATATATAACATTAGTTTATTATATACTAGAGGCCTAGTGCATGAGATTTGTGTATGGGAGGGTATCCCCTCAGCCCTGCCTGCACCCTCTCCAATCTGGGACCCTTTGGGGTCTATTCAACTGATGGTTGAATCATCAGTCAGACATCTCTCTCCCAATCTGGGACCACTGACTCCTAAATGCTCACTTGCCTGCCTGCCTGATTGCTCTAACTGCCCCACCTGCCAGCCTGATCAACCCTAACTGCCCCCTGCCAGCATGGTCACCCCTAACTGCTCCCCCTGATGATCTGGTTGCCCCCAACTGCCCCCCCTCGCTAGCCTGGTTGCCTATTACTGCCTCTCAACCAGCCTGGTCTCTCCCAACTGTCCCCTCTGCTGGCCTGGTCACCACTAACTGTGCCTCCCTACTTGCCTGGTGGCCCTCAACTTCCCCTCACCCCCACTAGCCTGGTCGCCCCACACAGCCTGCTGTTCAGTCATTTGCTTGTCCTTCACTAACACCCCTACTGGCCTTATTGTCCCACACAGCCTGCTATTCTGTCATTACTGTTACTGTGATGGCATCCTGGAAAATTTGCATATTCCTCTATTATTAGTATAGATTTTACTGACACAAGAATATGTAGAACATAATTTGCAAATGACCACAAATAGATCATTAGATTTGTAAATTCTATATAGCCAATTAATTTTCATACTTTTTTTTTGTATTTACCAGTCAACCCATGGTTGCAATTGTTGAATATATGTAGTTCCAACTAACTAATTTTATTTACATTAATAAATAAGAAAAAAGTGAAACAATAAACACAAGTTCATCCAGATCTATTTATTATTTCACAACTTCACTTATTCGTTAATGATTTGAATGACAACTTAGCTACATTGGATTATCATCTTAGAATACTACAAAATATTACCTTAACTTCTTTGTGCTATTCACAAAGTAACAGCTACATGTATGTCACATCTTAAATTTAATCAGTTTTGCCATTTCTTCATTATTTTCTCAAAAACACACAAAACATTAAACCAAGCACCGATTAGTACTTTTTACCTATTTCTAAGGTATAAATACTCCAATCATAGCCAATTTTAACCTACAACATAAAATAATATTACAGATGTGTAATAACACTATGCTTTATTATTTTTTTTAAACTAGAGGTCCAGTGTATAAAATTTGTGCATTTGGGGTCCCTCAGCCCAGCCTGTACTGTGTCGCAGCTTAGCAGCCCCTTGAAGGATCACCCCCACAGAGGGAGGCCCACCCACCATCTGCAGCCTGCCGGTGTGTGGCCTGGGCCTCCCTTTTTGGGGCAATCGAGAAGCCCCTGATTAATTGCTCCACCGGCTGGTGGCCTGGGCCTCCCTCTGTAGGGCGATCATCAGGCGATGGTGGGGCCCCCCACCATAAGTATCACACTTGCCGAGGCTGGGATGACGCCAGTGGATGTCATAGTGTGGTCATCCGGATGGTCATTCCACTGTTCAGCCATTTGGTCAACTTGCATATTATGCTTTTATTATTACATATTTTATTTTTCCATTACAATTTACATTCAATTTTTTATTAGTTTAGGTGTACAGCATAGTTGACTATTGCATAACTTATAAAGTGATTCCCCTGATTATGCTAGTACTCAGCTGGCACTGTCAGAGTTTTGACAATATTATTGACTCTAGTCCCTATGTTGTACTTCACATCAATATGACTATTTTGTAACTACAAATTTGTTCTTAATCCCTTCATATTTCCCACTCCCCCACTCCCAACCTTCCTCCAATCTGGCAACCTTCAGTTTGTTCTCTCTACCTATGACTCTGTTTTTGTTTGTGTATTTTGTTTATTAGATTCCACAAATAAGTGAAATACTATGGCATGTGTCTTCCTCTGTCTGACTTATTTCCCTGAGGATAAATCCTCTAGGTTCAACAATGTTGTTGAAAATGGTTAGAATTCACTCTTTTTCTCCACTCCCCTGACAAGCACTTGGGTAGCATCTATAACGTAGCTCTTGTAAGTAATACTGCAAAGAATATAGGGGTGCATATGTTTTTTGAATAAGTATCTTTAATTTTTAAATATATATATATGAGAATTGCTGGGCATAAGGTACTTCTATTTTTAAACCTTCAATCTGTTTTCCATGATATTTGAACAAATTTGAAATGCCACCAACAGTGCATCAAGGTTCCTTTTTCTCCACTTTCTTGCCAACACTTGTTCTTAATTGTTTTATTTATGACTAGAGGCCCAAGGCATGAAACTCGTGCAAGGGGCTCACCACTGCCACTGCCATGGCTGCCTCTGCCTCAGTCCCCACTGCTGTAGCTTTGTCCAGAAGGCACTCAGGAAAGATGTCCAATCTAATTAGCATATTATGCTTTATTATTATAGCTAGCCATTCTAAATGGTGTGACATACCTCATCATAGTTTAATTTCATGATTTTGATGATTAGTGACATTGAGCATATTTTCATATGTCTATTGGCCATCCTTATGTCCTCCTTGGAGAAGAGTCTCTTCAGGTCATCTGCCCATTTTTAATATACATATGGAATAGTTGTATGAGGGTTTTTTTTTTTTTATAAACTTTGAATATTAACTTCTTACCAGATGTATCATTGGTGAATATCTTCTCCCATTCTTGTCTTTTCACTTTGTTTATGGTTTCCTTTGCTGCAGAAAACCTTTTCAGTTCGATGTAGCCTCACTTGTTTATTTGTTCTTGTGTTTCCCTTGCTCAAGAAGATGTATCAGTAAAATATCACTAAAAGAAATGTCAGAGTTGTGTGCCTATGTTTTCTTCTAGTTTTATGGGTTTAGTGTTACATTTAAGTCTGTAATCCATTTTAAATGTATTCTTCTATATGGTATAAGTTGGTAGTCTGGTTGAGTTTCTTGTCTTACTGTTAAAAGTATACAGATGTACCCTGCTGCCCTCCCACTGCCCCTCCAACCTGCTCCTGACCCCTCCTCAAGCCTTCACTGCACTTCACTGTCCATGGGTTATGCATATATGCATATAAGTTTTTTTGGTTAATCGCATCCCTCCTCTTTCCACCTCCCTCTGAAATTCATCTGTTGCATGCTTCAGTGTTTCTGGATCCACTTTGCTCATCAGTTTTATTTTCTTCATTAGATTTCACATAGATAATGTTATACTTGGGTTTATCTACTCACTTATACAACTTAACAAAAGGAAGACAAACAATCCATTTTTTAAAGTGGGCAAATGAATTAAATAGGCATTTATTTCTCCAAGGAGGACATACAGATGGCCAAGAAACAAGAAAAACATATTCAAAATTCAAAATCACTAATCATCAGAGAGATGCAAATAAAAACAACAAGAAATATCACCTCTCCCCTGCCAGAATGGCTACTATCAACAAATCAACAAATGATAAATGCTGGTGAGGATGTGGACAAAATGATTTAATTTTTTTTTTGCATATATCTGTCCATTTTTCTCAACATAATTTATTAAATAGACTAGAGGGCCAGTGCATGAAAATTCATGCACTTTTCAGGCCAGAAGGGATTGTCACAAAATATTCAAAGTGATGAAAAATAAGGACCTACAACCAAAATGACTCTACTCCAAGTAGATTTAGTAACAGCAGGCACCCATCAGGATCTGGTGCCTGCTGTTGCCTTCCTTTGAGTGTACTTCTTATGGAGCTTATTAAGCTCTGCAGTGTTATGGTTTGAAGCCAGCCACCTAGTGTTACAAGCCTGGTGTGATAGTTCTGAGGCCTTTGGGGGCGGACTCTGGTGCAGGTCAATGACCTTTCCTGTGACAGGTCTGGGGCTACTGGACAGGATGCTATTTGTGGTTGGTAGTTGCTTGTACCAATGTGGAAGGGATTTAGGTGTGATTTGAGGTCTTCTTTGAGTAGGCCCACAGCACTTATCCTGGGGTAGGTCAGCAAAGGTCTCCAGTCACCCTGAGAACTGCCACTGCCTATCAGTTGTCAGTAATACTCTGCCACTGAAAGAGTGTGGAGCACTAGCTCCACCCGCAGGATGCCCTGAAACACTATGTCACCGTAAAGGTGCACAGGCACCAGGTGGGTGGTGGCCATCCTCACGGTACCCTGACAGTGTGTTTGAGTGGCCTCTAAGCAAACTTTAGTGTTACGTCTGAATCTATATTAACCTGGTGAACACAGCTCACTCCTCTTGGTAACTTCCTGAGACCCTGCCTCACACATCTAACATAGTGCTCGACACCCTTTCAGTGGCATAATATTACTGACAACTGATAGGCAGTGGCAGTTCTCATGGTGACTGGAGACCTTTGCTGACCTATCCCAGGCTAATGCAGATGGAGGTAAGGCCCTATGGAAGGCAGCTCTAAATACAGGGAAGGTAGCGCCATGTGTATCAAAGATGCAGGAAGATCACCCTCATCCTGAAGTCACACAATTCCGTTTCTCCCTGTGTGTCTCTGTCACCCACAAGCTTGACCAGAATTCTCAAGTGTTTTCTGTTTTGTTGTGTTGTGTTTTTTTTGAAAGACTTCAATGTGGGCCCAGGCAGGTTGTCTGACAGAGGCTCGGGCTGTGGACAAGTTGTATAAGGCAACATCTCAAGGAATGGGGAGGGTGGAGCTACCAGAGTTCACCAGCTAAAGCAAGTTAAGATATGACCTTCGGTGTGGAGGGTTATACACAGAAAAGGTGGTGCCGTCGACCATCCAGGACGATAGCCATTACCGGTAGCCATACAACTCATTTTCTACCCGTGTGTCTCTGGCACTCCTCACAATCACCTGTTTTACCAGAATTCCTTGAGAATTTTCCAAGAAAGACTGTAACAAGGGCTCAGCTAATTCCACCACATGAGCCTTGGGCTGTGCCTGAGTAGGGTAGGGCCAGGTCTCAAGGAGTACTCAGGTTGGAGCTAGTGATGTGTACCATGCTAATGCTGTATGGGAGAGGGTTTAATACAGAAAAATGGTGCTGTGGGCCACGCAGGAGTAGGGCTCAGCACAGGGACATTAGCCCTCCAGCCCTCCCAGAAGCCATGAAACTCAGTCTTTCTCTGTATGTGTCTGAAACCTCCTGAGCCAACATCCCTCCTTGGAGCCTAGGATGAATGCCTGCAAGCAATGCCTGTGCACTGGCCCTTTAAGAGGACGCCTAGGTTGTCAATGCCTTTAGTCTCACCTAGGCAGATGGAATTCCTCTGATTTTTATAGCCAGATCTTACACGGGCTCCTCTTCCTGTCACTGGTTTTCTAAGCTGGTGCTGATATCCTTTGCTATTCAGGGGACCCTCTGCAGCTGAGATATTTCTCCAGATTCCCATCCACCATATGTGGCTGCAGGGCCCCCCTTTTTAAGTCTCCACCCCTGCTGCCAGTCTCCTCCTCACTTTTTGTTTATATGCTTAGTCATAGAACTTCATCTAGTCATCAAATGGTCATCCAGGTCGGTTTAGTTGTAATTTTGATGTGGTCATGTGAGAATGTGCGTGCAGCTTCCACTTACACATCCAAACTCCCATTATACAATATTTTTATCATATTTTATTGTATTTATTATTATTGTTGTTGTTGTCTAAAATTTTACACAGGTCTTCTTTTGTCCCACTTGGCTCCTCCCCAGCCATTCCCACCCCTGGGCAAGCCCCCATTGCCCTGTGACTGTGTCCGCTGTTTATGCTAACATACATACATGCAAGTCCTTTGGTTGCATTTAACAAGACATGCAAGTAAACTGAAGAGCATATGTAATAGTAAAAGTAGTAAAATAATTAGGATGTGATGACTTTTGAGTATTTGCTACTTTTATTTTTAACTTATTTAATCATGAGTTAATATGATTCAAGTTTTAATGAGAATGTATTTAAAAACTGGCTTGCAAAACTACTGAATATTTAACTGTCAGCTCTTATAACCCAGAGCAAGTGACTTCAGCATGCCACTGGGATTGTGGCACTCTGCGTACATAAACATTTAGCCATATACATACCAAAACACAGACTTCAATAGAAACATTGCAAATCCCATTGAAGAGAAGCAATTTACCTATTTCTGAGTGCAGAAAAACGAGTGAAAAATGTAGCGGATTTTATATTTGGAAATCCCTATTACTGGATTTATCCACTAGCCTTATCAATTAATTCACATTATTTGTGTGTTTGCTTTTATCCCACACACATCATAACATCAAAGAATTTTAAGTGTAAGGTTTAGGAAAAGATTCCATGTACATACTTACATATTTTAAATATTGTAAAAGAAAAAGAAAATGAAAACATCTCTATACTCTACAGAACCATTGCAGAAGAAAAGACTACTTTACCTTCTAATCTGAAATATTCAATATTTAATTTAAGAAAAGTCACATTCATAAGTTCAGTAAACCCATTTATACTGTTCCAAACAAAATACAAATAAAAAGACAAAAATAAATAATGTGCCCAATTAATAAACAGTAATAGCATTCTATTTTCTTATTTGGGGGTTTTCTTTGCTCCAAATATTAAAATGTGATTTAACTAACAATTTTTAATTAAGATATGACCTTCGGTGTGGAGGGTTTTACACAGAAAAGGTGGTAATTTTTAATTAAGGCCCTGCATTTTTTTATTTTTCATTTTCTGTAACTAGAGTATATAGATTTGAAATGTGACTAAAGCTGTGATAGATCCAAAAAATATTTATAAACCTGTCCTGAGCATAAATGTAAACTTGGTCATATGTATTTTGGTGATATGCAGAACAACTATGTTTACTTTTAAACTAGATATTTGGTGTAATGTAAACTCAGACAGACACAAAAATTCAGATCAGATCAGATAGATTTGTGCAACAGACCACAAAAAAAACATGAGAATTAAATTAATAATGCCCATTCTATTTTAAGTGTTTGATAAATTGTATTTAAGATTATTAATTTACTTATATGTTCATAATAAAATGAGTTACTTTTTAAAAGAGCTAATTATGACTATATAATATGAAAATGCTACTTTTTTCAAGTGGTACTAAAATTCCAATTTTATTATCTTATTTTGGAATCATTCTACCACTAGTTTCAGCATAACATCTAATAATTTAGGGAAATGATACTGAAAGTCCACAAGAAGCCAAAATTAAATTAACTTTAACCTTCTGTTTATATGAAATCTACTTTTCTTATATTTTATATCTGCATTTCTATCTTTTTTAAAAAACAAATATATCAAAAATATGGCAACTTGAAGAATTAACTTACACTTATATACTCTCATTCTAATTTGTCAGATATTTCAATTTGTGTTTTCCTCAGATACCTTTAGTTTTTTTCTATTATATTGACTCATCTATACTGGATTTTGAAAATTTTGACAGCTATTAAAAAGATTAGTTAATGCCCTTATTAAGATCCAAGAAGTCATTGAAATACAAAGAAAAAAATAGAATTATTTTCATTTCTACTCAATTTATTGACAAACATGAAATTTTGGTTGGGATTTATATTTTAAATAGTATTTTAATTATCAATCCCTGTTATTTGTTTGTGTATAATAGTATTTTGAACTACTTCAACTTGTTGGTTTTAAAGCTTGCTTCTTTGAGAATATCTGAAGGACTAATTGCTTAGATCTGTTAAGTGTGGAACCATTCTGCACATTTCTTATAAGTGTTAAGAGCCACTGCCATTTCTACCTTAGCAAATAAATTTTATATGTAGCTTCAAATTATATTGTTTGTCCATAGATAATTTGCCACATATATTAATTTTTAGATGAATTGATTAACAAAAGCCGCCTTTTTAAAAAACATCAACTCTTAAATAATCTAAAAATAAATATGCATAAACATGTACATATATATTATGCATTTGTAAATGTGTGTATATATATTTACACATATACTTATATACATGCATACAGGTACATAGAGTGTCTAGTATTTGAAGTATGTTTAAGTTAATTTCTAATTCTTAAAAGGTTTTCACTTCTTGAAGAGTATTTTTATTTCCTCTTTTATTCTCCACTATTATTAGAATTTGATGCATGAGCCCCTTAAGTATTGCTTTCAACTTTTTAAGAACCTTTGGTTCTCCAGAGTTGAGTTACCTTATTATACAATTTATTGAAGCCTAATAATTATTAGGACATGTGGTAGGCACTTATCACATGTAACATCACACTGCTGACTCTATGTACAAGCTACAATAGGGCAAATGGTACAATTAGAGGCACA